AATGTTCAGCGGAAGGAAACTAAACGAAGACTTTAGCATCAAGGACGCTATGGGAGGATGGAGTACCTTTTCTTTTGCTTGTTTGTTGACTGTGGCGATCAATTTATTAACGTCTGTTTTTAGTGTTTTTGTCGGGTCAGCTCTAATCCTCTTAAACTTGCTATTGTCCGATAGAATGTCGTCCAATTTTGTCTTATATTCCTGTTTGTCCATGATCACTAGAATATTAGCTTTGTCCGCAAGTCGCACAGTGATGTCGTCATGGTTTCTGAGTTCCTTAGCAGCAGTACGGAGTTTTGGTGTTAGCAGGGGGGTGTTGTCACGGTCACGACGTTTTGTGCTTTCTGCGCGTAGTTGGTCCCGCAAGGCAGGATTTATGTCGATAAGGTCCTGTTGTTGTAGTTGTATAAGAGAGCAGTAGAATTTTTCAAGCTCAGCGGCTTTGATGTCCTTGTCGAATTTAGGTTAAAAATGGCATTTTGGCCCCTGGTTGAGTAGTTGTTTCTGGTCTGTAGCCAGTTCTGTGTTAGAAAGATTCAGGGAACACGCTTTTTCTTGTGGTAGGCAGATGGTACCTTGATATAGGTTGTTCAGCTTTTTTGTTATCTGTGATCTTTTCTTTTCTTTGTTGATTGTGTTCTGTAGGTGGGTTAGTAGTTCTGTATTCAGTGAATTGTCAGTGATTTCCTGGCGCAAATTCTGCGATAGTTCCTCGATTTTGTCGTTTATTTCGTGGATGGCGGTTTCTCCTTCTGATATTTGCCTTTTGACAAGTTTCTGCTGAAACTCCAAGGTTATTTTATTGTCTTTTAATGTCGGGTCATGTAGTCGAATGTTGGTGTACTTTGGTGACAGATTTTCTTGTAGGCAGATTTTGTTAAACAAGACCGATGTCTGTAGGTTTACTTTCTTCTTAGAATTCTTCTCAAGAAGTCGATAAGCCATCTTAACATTGTTAGAACAACGGGTGAAAGTTGTAGATAGTGATGAGTTAGCCTTGATAATGGATGCAGAACGCATTCGAAACGCGTCGGCCGGAATGTTGTGT